AATTGCATTCCTTGGGCCTACAACCAATGAATAAAAAGGGCCATTTCTGCTTCACTTGGTAGGCCACAGTACTTACGAATTTCAGAATTGTTTTTGTGGGGCAATTTTATGATAACTAATGAGACAATGGCCATGAAATGAATCAGGAAACAAAGTTCCAAGGTACTGAAGGTTTATGCAAAAGCAAATGTTCTTTGTTCAGTAAAGGCTGCATTAAATAAAACCCACATTAAAGTTTCTTAAACAAAACAAAACAAAAAACCTTCTAAAGAAGCCATATTGCTTTCTCTCTGTGACATGGAATTATGAAAAATAACTGTTGTTCTTTATTGGAGGAAATTAAAGTGGAAGAAAAGCAACATAGTTCTACCAATGACAGAACATGTATCGTATGCTGTAGGTAGGTCATCATACAAACTTACCACTCAGCGTTCTCTGAGCACTTCCAGGCATTCACATCACCACAGTATACACGCAGCCTTCATAAAGGAGTTTGGAAGACAGAATTGATGTTAAGCAAAAATTCTCACTTTTAGTACTCTGATTTTTTCTTTATTTCTTTATTGTCTTAAACTGTGAGACTATCTGCATGCTAAGCAGCTTCTTTGGTCCCCCAACTTGGAAAACAATTATATTTAACTCATTGCAGACAATGAGACACCTTTTTGTGAAAGAAAGAGGAGAAAGAAGAGCAAGGTTGGGGATGCCTGTTATTTCTTTCTCCCATGGTGCAGTGTCAGTATCTGACCACTTCTCCAAACTTCTAAGAAGTCTGCCCTCCCCCCGACCACACATGTAGTACCAAGTTTAAACTGAAAAAGAAGCACCTAAATACTACTATCCATGTGGCTATGTAGAATAGAAGCCTAGGTAAATCCCACACACAGATCAGGGCCACTGCTAGCCAAAGTTGTAGGGAAGGACAGTTTTTATCTAAGACTTATCATCTTCAATTAAACATTGTCCCTTTTTTGTGCCCAATACCTTTGTAGCATGCTCTGGCTGCCCAGGTACCCCTTAATGCAGTAACCCACATGGAGTCTCCTTTTATAGGCAACAATTCATGCTCTGGATTTTTTTTTTTTTGCTACCCTTTATCAAAAATTGCTCACACCTGATCGTCTTCTCTTGGGTTTAATTGTCTGTCTTCCCCAGCCAGAATGAAAGTTCTCTAGGGACCTTTGTCTGCCTTTTTTTCAGTGGGGGAATCCCAGCACCCATCTGGCACACAGAAGAAAGAACACACCCACCTATGCCATATATCAGTAGCTACTCAAGGCTTAAGTGAGAGCTTACAGGGTGAGATATGGCCAACAGGAATGTACTCTTTGTCCTACCGAGTGCTTGAAACTTTTTTTTTCTAAACGGAGAACATTCATTTAAAAATCTTAGCTTCCCTGGAAAGATAGGAGATCTGGTAACACTGGCAAGTGCCTTTGCTCCCTTGAATGGGGCATGGCCTTCCCATGTCCCTACCACTCCCTCTGACTTCCCTAGACTGAAACTGTGTCAGATCCAATATTGAGAAGCGAGGGGTCAAATTTTAGAATACCAGCATATTGCACTTGGCCTGTAGTTGCCCTATTTGTTGGAAGTATTAGAATTTGTGAATGTGACTCCAGTCTTTAAATATTTTCCTTACAGGTAATGTCTTTCTGTTTTGTCTGAAACTTTAAAATGTATAACAACATGGTTAGGAATGTCACACATTGTGGCAGGAGAAGTATTTTGGGCTGGGAGACCTTCCAGGCTATACCATGGACTGGGGCCACCCTTTCTTTCTGTGCGTAGACCCTTTGCTTGGGAAAAATTGAGATCTCTAGGTTCTTCCCATTTTCCTGAGAACTCTTTTCCCCCAAACCCTCAGTGATTGTACTATATGCATTGCCTCTTAGTAATACCTCTTTTTGTATTTGGATGCCGTTTTCCTCCCAGATAGCCATATTCATAGAGCCATTGCAAGTGCTTATCTAATGCTTAATCCAGTTTGGGGAGCATATTTCTTGTCACTAAATGTATATGCAATGACGGCTTGACCATAGTGTACTTAACACAGCATGGGAGCAGCCAGTTAGAGACCATTGGTGACAGAGAACAGCAAAGGTGTCCAGGAAGACCACTCAGGCCTTGGAAGAATTTTCCTCTTGTTTGACTAGGCACATAATTAAGAATCACTGGATAAGAACAAACCACTCGGTTGTTTCACATTTGGGGGAACTAACTTGGTGTCACCTATGAGAGACATGGGTCACTTCTCTGTATCTGATTGGCTAAGAACCATACTAATTCAGAGATTGCTGCTTAGAGGGTGGGGGGAAATGATATCACAAAAGATTCCCATAACTATGGCTTTACCTAAAATGGTATAGTTATCAAAGCCAAATCATCCATTATAATAAAAGGCTAATATGCAAATCGACCGAATGGCGGAATGACTGGTCGCTATGACGCGAACTGACCACCAGGGAGCAGACGCTCAATGCAGGAGCTGCCCCCTGGTGGTCAGTGCGCTCCCACAGGGGGAGTGCCGCTCAGCCAGAAGCCGGGCTCATAGATGGTGAGCGCAGCAGCAGTGGTGGGAGCTAAGGATGTCCAACTGCCAGCTTAGACCTGATCCCTGGGGGGAGCAGGCCTAAGCCATCAGTCAGACATCCCCCAAGGGCTCCTGGACTGTGAGAGGGCACAGGCCGGGCTGAGGGACATCCTCGCCCCCCCTCCCTACCCAGTGCATGAATTTCATGCACTGGGCTTCTAGTGTCAATGTGAAAAATTATTTTTGTTAAGTGAAATGTACTGGACTTAGATAATATAGTATACAACTTTATCCTCACAACCTTCTTTAGCCTATGTTAATATTCTAAATATAATGCTTTAAGTTTAGGAATCCTAGTATATCTCTTTTTAAGCAACCTATATTCAACATATACATTTGTTTAAAGAATAGTTTATGATTTTTGAGAGAGGAAAGGAAAGAGAGAAACATCCATGTGAGAAGAACATCCATCAGCTGCCTCCTGCATGCCCCCTACTGGGGATCAAGCGCACAACCCCGGGCATGTGCCCTGACCAGGAATCGAACCAGCAACCTCTCGGTGCACAGGTTGATGCCCAATCAACTGAGCCACACCAGCAAGGGTCAATATATACATTTTTAAGCTAAAATAAATGATTTAATATGTAGGCACTTTCCATGTTTAAGGCACAACAAAAAACAAGCCAGGTGAAGTTGCTTCTTTCCTGCAGCTTACATTCAGTTGTCGTATAATTAAACAAATGAGCAAATGAATTAGTGCATCAGGTAGATGATGGCTATGGGGGAAAAGGTAACATGAGGAGGTAGGGGAGGGGAGGATGCATGGCAAGGGATGATCTTTTATTGAATGAGGTGAGGGAAGGTGATATTTGGGCTGAGACCTATTGGGGTAAGAGAGCCAGTCATGCAGAGAGTGTGGGCAGAGTGTCCCAGGGAGGTGGAAAGGCAAGTGCATGTGTTCAGTGTGCTCAAGCATCAGCAAGGTGGCCAGCCAGCCTGGAAAGGAATGAGCATGGAAAAGAAGAGGTAATGTCACAGCCCTAGCCAGTTTGGCTCAGTGGATAGAGCATTGGCCTGTGGACCCAAGGGTCCCGGGTTTGATTCCTGTCAAGGGCACATACCTCGGTTGCAATCTTCTTGCTGACCCGGGCCCTGGTCGGGGCACGTGCAAAAGGCAACCAATCTATGTGTTTCTCTCATATTGATGTTTTTCTCTGTCTTTCCTTCTCTCTGCCACTCCCTCTAAAAATCAATGGAAAAATATCCTCAGGTGAGGATTTACAAAAAAAAAAAAAAAGTAATGTCACAGAGGAGCCAGAAAGCAGACTTGCAGGGCCTTCTGGGACATTGTGAAGACTTTAAACCATTATGTCCAGGATGATGGCAAGTTGTTGGAAGATTTTAAGCATGGGAATAACTTAATAACATTTACATTTTAAAATCAATGATAAGTCTCAGCTGGGTGACTCAGTTGCTTGGAGCATTGTCCCATACACCAAAAGGTTGCAGGTTTGATGCCCGGTCAGGACACATCCCTAGGTTGTAGGTTCGATACTCGGTTAGGGTGCATATGGGAGGCAATTGATCGATGTTTCTCTCGCACATTGATGTCAGAGCATGGGTTCCTAATCTTTAAATTCAGAATTGTATCTCACTATCACAGATTTCTTTAATAATCTTAAGTATTATTTTCAATGCATTTAAAAACATTATTCTGAGAAAGGAAATCGTAGGCCTCCCCAGACTGTCAATGGGGCCTGTGAGTGTAGAGAGAGTGTGTGCAAGGACTCAATTAATTTGTTTGAATCTAAGCAGCACTGCAAATGGCACTGGGTTTGCAATGTTTGGGAGAGGAGGGGAAGTGCTGAGCATATGCCAAGGCTCACAAAGAGGCCAACCATAGCCAGGTGACCACTTGTTCCAACCTGGCCAGGATGGTCCCCATGTATGACTTTATCCTGGTGCAATTATTACTGCCACCTCCTTTCACTCTCACAAGTGCCCCGGGGAGAACGTAAATTAGATGCCCCCCCCCCCACACACACACACACCCCTTGCTGATAGCTATAGCTATTATCAAGAAAGCAATGGTGTCTAGCTCAGTTGGTTGAGCATGATGAGTGTTGTCCCTGTTCTATGTACCAAAAGGTTCTCGGTCCTCAGGCCACATACCTGGGCTGGCAACCAATCAATGTTCCTCTCTCATATCTCTCTCTCTCTCTCTCTCTCTCTCTCTCTCTCTCTTCCTCTCTCTAAGCACATCCTCAGTTGAGGATTTTAAGAAAAAGAATGTAGTGGTGATAAATGTAGTGAATTGAGTGCCTTTTCCAGTACGTGTGGTAGGAGCTGCCAACCGCTGAATTTGGGCTTATTTCTATAATGAATGGGTATAATCACAGTTAGAATATTATGCAAAAATATGATGGGAAAAAATACTGTTTTCATCATAATTATTTCTCTTTTACAGCCAAAAAAGAGCATAAAATGGAAGAAAGTCACCTGGAGAATGCACAGAAAAGGTAAGCAGCTCTAACTTGGCCCCAGCTCTTTCTTTTACTAGCCATTTTATTGTTATTATTAATTATTATCATTAAGTACATTCCACATTGCTGTGCAACCATAACCAGCATCTATATCCTGAAATTTTCATTTTCTTCAAAGGCAACTCTGGATCCATTAAACTCTAACTCCCCATTTCCTTCCCCCAGCCCTTGGCAACCACCATTCTAATATCTGTCTCTGTGACTTTGACTGCTCTAGTGACCTCCTGTAAGTGGACTCATACAGTACTTTTCCTTTTGTGACTGGTTTGTTTCATCCACATAATGTCTGACTGACGATTCTTTTGGCCCCATTTGTTAAGACTATGCTTCCATGAACAATAACAGCCGGTGGAGAGCTGGAGTGAAAACACTGTGACAGGACTTGGGAATATTTTTCCTCAAGAAGCAAGAGATTTTTTTTTAAAAAAAGGAGGAGATCATTCAAAAGTGACTCGCCTGCCTCCCATGTCATGATGCTATTTCCATCTCTTCGCCTCTCCTCCATCACTCTGCTCCTGAACCGCTTCCTGGGAGTCAGGAACAACGTAATCCTTCTTAGCATTACAACTAGATTCAACCAGTTATTACAAACACCTAAGAGGCTTACTGTGTCTTTCCTCAGAGCCTAGAGGACATTGTGGGGAGAGAGAAGGGAATGACCTCTATATGGAAAACTCCCACAGAATTGGTCAGAGACCTCAGAGATCTCCTATTCAAGCTCTCTCCTACTTCACGCCTCTTATTTGCTCTTCTCTCTCTCAATGGCCATCAGAGTGGTAGAGGCCAATAATCACCAGCTGTGGCCCCCAGAGGGGTTTTCTTTTTATCAGTTGGCCAGGCTAGTCAGTGTGGCTACTCCTCCCTCTTAGAGGAGGAATGGGAATATACTGAGGCTTTCTCATATTCAGCTCAGAAAATTGAGATAAATTTTGCTGGTACATTTCTAAAAGTATTAGAAAATTAAATAAGAGGTAAGAGCAGGAAGAGGCACATATGGGAAAAAATGGGCTTTACAAATACGCGAGGAGAGGAGTTCACTAAATGCAAATGAACAAACTCTACAAATGAGCCTTTCTCCTCCCGGGGGGCTCTGAAAGACTGAACCGGTGCCGTCTGCTCTGCTTTGACAAGTCCCACATCCTGCCCTGCTCTCCACTGTACTCGCCAATAAAATTAAAATGCAGATGAGAGCGAGGTGATGGCAAACCCTGCATTTTCCTAAGTGCAGACATGTTCTTGAACCGTGACTTTATCTTCACATGATAATCTTTGACAATGAAGACAGTCACCTGGTTGTGTGTGTGTATTTCTGTGCCCCTGTATTGGCCTTACCCCTACAGGAAGCTTCCCGTCCTCCGTGTGTAGAAGCACTGCGTCTGTGTTACAGAAATAATCAGCATGCATAAAAGAGACCCTCAACTAGGGCACATGAGTATCAGGCCAAACAGAAATTCAGTTTCTGGGGTGGTTGTCACTTCTAATACTTCTTTAAGATTCTTGCATTAGGAACGGGGGCCCACCTCCGAGGGGCCGAAGCTGCTGCTGTGCATTAGCTATGCTGAGGGGGGCCATAAATTCTGGTTGTCAGCGTTTTCCGTGACTTTGTGGTGAAGGTAGTCTAGCTTTCATGTCATACATGAAATATGTCCGATCCCATCTTTAATGTAGAAACCACAGTTGTTTGGTTGCCCTCTTTAAGGAGGTTGGTGGTCAGTGTTGCAATATTCGTGTGAGATTTAGGAAATTCTCATGTTTTATTCTCAAGAGAAACAATTTACTCTGAGGCGAAGGAATATTTGCTTTTCCTAAGCAGTTTCTGAAGGCACGCATGTCAAACAGTAAGTGGGTGTGTTCCGCTCTGGCCTCTCCGCGCTGCAGAAGTAAAACCGTTCAGTTGGCCACGGGCTCTTTGATAGAATCATCGTCTGCACTTTAGAAATGTTTAGCTGAATTGTAAAGACACAGATGAGAGGAGGAATTGTAGCAGGGAGAAAAGGAGTCAGGGAATCGTTTAGAGTGAAGTCAAAAAGTTATGTGAAACATGATCAGAAATCCACCCACTTTTTAGAAGTCGAAAGCTAATTTAGAGTCATCTGCTGGCAAATAAAAGTTTCGGAAAGCATGATTGCCCCTTCGTCTGTTGAAGAAAATTCTCCTGACTGCTTAAGATCTATAATTTTCATGCCCAAATTTCGGAAGGTTTTCAATCATCCGTCTTCTGTGAATCAAAATTGAATTTGAAAGGAAGAGAGTTTTGCTTGGGAGGACAGTGGCCTAGACTTTATCAGGTAGTTGCAGGTTCATAGACCAGCTTTTAGCTTTTCCTTGGGCAAAGGAAGAGCACTGAATTCAAACAAGGCGCACGTCGGAGCAGCTGCTCTCCATCACAGCTGCGGTGCCAAGGCCAGGCCATTCTCTGCAACTCTGTTTACTTTGGTTCTTCTGAAGAGGCTCGCTTGCCTTCTTAGTTCCCAAAGCACATAGCGGGGAAATGCTCAAGTTCTGCCTTTCCTTTAGTTTTCGCCCCCTCTGAGGGTGAGTAAGCAGGACCTCACAGCTCCCAGGGGAGAGGGGGAGGTACATGGTTAGCTTCAGTTCAGAGTTGGGGAAAGCGAGGCCGCAGGATGATGGCATGCTTTCCTCAAGCTCTGCGATAGCCCCCAAACAGAGCTGCCATTCTCTGCAACTGCACCAGTGCGTGCAATGCCCTGGTCCCGCACTCGAGACTCCCAATAAGGCTCCAGGTGTGGGGGTGATTTGAGAAGCAAGGACTGGGGCTCTGTGCTCTTCACTGTGTCGTGCTGGGCTGTAGGAAGACCATTTGTTCCCCTAAAAACTCACCGTGGAAGACTTTCTCCTCTCTATTGATGCACAAAGAAATATGGTTCTGTATAGGAGGTGAGCATCTGGAAGAGAAGAAAATAATGATTTGCTTTGCTGGGGGTAACACACATTATGGAAGATACAGGGGCAACTGTGTCTAAAGTAGAAATGGGGGGGAGGGGCACTGTTGTATTTCTTGAATGCCCGGGTCAGCGAGCATGAGCCACAGGGACGGAGGGAGGAAAAAGCATTTCCCTGAGAATCAGGAGGCCCAAGATTAGCCCAACGCTGCCAATAAAAAGGGACATTCAGTCTTTCCAGGTCTTTGTTTCCTCATCTGTAAAATGAGAACATTGGACAAGTTGACATGTAAGTCTCTTCCAATTCGAAAGCCCCAGGACTCTGTAAGAAAACCATGGCCGGTTCCTATAGTTCACAAAACTCTCTACAATGCATGTCCATGCTACATTAGTATAATTTTCATTTTGAATGAAATAAAACTAGATGCCATAGAGTGCGCTTTGGTGTTATCAGTATTCTGCTTGCCACAAAATGGGTCCCGCCTGAGTGAAAGTGGACATTGCTACTTTCTTCCATTGCTGGTTTTGCGCCAAAATATGCATGTTTGGTATTATAAGAGAGTCCCTTAAGAAATTACTGCAGTTGTTGCCTTTCTCCACTTATACACTTCCAGTCTTTTAATAACTGGGAGCCAAAATTCCCTGACCAGTAGTTTTAATTTGCATTAAAAACAGATTTATTATTTACAGAAGCACAAAGAATTTATGGGACTCAGAGCTGCAGCCCCCGCTTGGATCTCGCCTAATCATAGCCATGGAATCAATTAACAGTTCATCTGTGAACTGTGGTAAAATCTTATGAGATACATATTGGCCAATAACTGAGAACGAGATGAAAGTATGCTCCGTAATAGTAACGGGGCTTCGGGGTTTTACAATCGCCATTGAATAGAGTTCCATTAGGAACTCAGTATTCAGGATGGCCACAAAAAAAATGCTGTGTCTGAACAGATGATAGAGCATTGAGTAGCCATAAACCTGGCCAGCCATTCCTGCTTTGATTAGTTTCCAACACCCTAGAAAAGGGAGCCATTTATTTAAGTGTTCTTGCTCATGGCAAATGAGCTTGTGAGGCTTGGGGTGGGTGGGGGCGGCTGGGTAGAAAGATTGAGTGCAGAGCTATAAATTGCTGCAAAGCTAGTGCCTCCAAGAAGGGCTGCTTGGGAGGCCCGGCTAGTCTGGTGTGAGAGTCCATGGGGTAGGTCAGGAGGCTCTTAGTGATATCTGGGAATCTACTTTGCAAAACCTGGTCCAGATTGGAGATCATTTATTAAGATCAAAGATGATTTTCTATCCAAACCTTGCTATGCCCTCAACTGTACATATACTTTTGTGCAATTGGTGGTCTGTATTCTTGTATCATATAAATCTTTAAAAATGTAGCCTTCTTAAAGATCATAGAGGTTCAGTCCCTTATTTTACCCTTGAGAAAATTGAGTCTGATGCTGAGTGATCGGCCCCAGGTTACAACGCCAGAGGGTACCAGAATAGGAGAGAACAGTCTTGATTTTCCATGAAACACTCAACAGATTAATTATTCCCACTGGGCTCTCTAACTGACCACTGCTTCATGCCACAGAGTCAGTATGCCAGCAGTGTTCCCCGTCATCATTAAACTTCAAGTGAAGAGCAGGTACATGACATAGATTGGAGATGAAGAACAAACTCAAAAAGTTTTACCTGTATACCCCCCGGGCTTAAACATGCTGGATTTTACATGGATAAGATATGACTAGGAGTATCCCCAGTCAAATTGAATTTCTTGGAAAGTGGATTTGAGCAAATGGGTTTTCTGGGGTTTAGGATAAACCACAGTAATGGAGACAGAGAGTGGAGAAGTGGGAAACTGCCCCCAGGGCCCCCCACCCCCCTAATGGTGTTGACAGTTTCTCACCCTCTCCCTCCCTCTGTTTTCCCTTCCTGCCTGTTGCAGTTTTGAAACGACAGTGGGATATTTTGGGATGAAGCCAAAGTCTGGTGAGAAAGAGATCACTCCAAACTACGTGTTTATGGTGTGGTACGAGTTCTGCAGTGACTTCAAGACGATTTGGAAACGGGAAAGTAAAAACATATCTAAAGAAAGGTAAGTTCCGACAGAGTCACAAATACCCCCTTGGGGAGTCCAGGAAACTGCCTCCTCAGACCTAGCAAAGCCACACATTTCACACGCGTCAGTGTTGTCTTTCAGGCCAAGTGGCCATGAGGAAGGATTATTGCCTCAGGGCTCCTAGGGCAATTCGGGGGAGGCTTGCTGTCCGCACAAGCAGATACCCTCACGTGGTCCGATAAGTTACACTTTCTTAACCCCTTCCAATTACTAGCTAGTAAATGAAAGGGGAGCTGTGCTAATTTGCAACAGATTGCTTCTCTGCGTATTTTCATGTTGGCCCAGGCTAAATGAGGCAGCCTTGCTGTCGCAGACAGTACAGACAAATAAAAGTGAATGCTTTTCCCATTAATATACTGAACTTGCATCAAAGGGAAATCTCTGAGACTCGGGCCACACTTAACACAGTGTTGAAGCCCCGCTCTGGATTTACAGCGCCACTTCTGACTCCCCGTATCCTGCTGAGGACATCAAACTGCCTGCCGCTCAACCCTCATTGCAGCCTCCTGATTTTATTAGTTGGGGGTAGAAGGAAAACCTGGGCTCTGAATGCAGGGAGGTGTGTGTGTGCGCGCATGTGTGTGTTCATTCTGAGAAAGAGCATTTCTGCTTGATCACTGTTTTGATCAGGTTGCCACTGTTCTACAGAGGGTGTCACGGATTTAAACTTCAAACAGGTCTTGCTACTACCCCTGCAGAACAGATGCATAAGAGTGTCACTCAAAGTAGAGCGGAAGGAGACAAAAAAAATTCTACAAATTAAGGGAAATGATTCATTTAACTAAAGCATCTATATCTCACTAAAATTGAGACCTAAAATTCCTACGTTCGGTGCTTTTGTTCTTTACTTTGTAATCAGAGAAAAAGCATATGCATAATATATCTACACGCGCACACAATACACTAATATATTTCACCTTAAAAAGCTATTTTTTAAAGTGATCAAAAGTTAGAGATTTTTGACCCAGTATTGCTGAGTATCTAAATATTTTCTCTTTTCAAAAGACTGCTTTCTTTCTAAGGAAGTCAAAGAGCTTCAAAAATGTTTATCAACATTATCTTCCCACCATTGCCTCTTTGGGAACATGGGAATTAACATTATTACATCCATGATATGGAGAAGCGGAAGCAGAGAAATAGTTAAGTGACATTTTAAAGAAAAAGATCATTGATAATAACATGAAAAAAAATTCTAAAAACCTTGACACCTACCTCATTTGCTCTTGCCCTGTAGCCGCTTATTTAACCCTTTCCGCTTCCAAGGAATAAATTCTGTCTTGTGAGCTTCATAGGAAAGTGGTACCGCCAAGCTCCTCTCCCTCCCCACGTCCACACCTGACAGCCAGGAAACCAGCAGTGGGCTCTGAATGTATGGCCTTTGCTTAAGATTTTGTGCCTCACATGTTGAGCATCGTCCTTACTGAATTTGCCCTTGAGGATGGAGCCCTAAAATGGTCCAAAAAACCAAAAACAACTGAGAGGGTAATTGATTGCTTTTCATTATAATACTCTTCAGTTAAAATATGCAAGTGTATTCTAACTTAAGAAGTTTTTTCCCCTGTCACTAAAGTTAGACCCGATAAGTTGTGGGTCTGCAGGGGTGGTGGCCGGCGTCCTTTAACATGACGCGTCCTCTGACTCCTAGACGCAGGCATTTGCAGCACCGCTTCCTGGGTGTAGCTGGTGAATTGCCCACTTCACACTCTGTAAACCAACACCTTCCAAGGGTCATGACTTCCCAGGCCCCTCTCCAGTTCTCACTGAGCGATTCCAGGGGTCTCTTCATTCCAGCCGCGCCGTGCGAGATGGATCACCGAGGTTTCCAGCCTAAACAGCAGCATCTCCGAATGTTAACGATGCCTCATAAAATATTTTTGGAAGCAGCTTGTTTACAAAAATCTATTTGCTAAGAGATGTTAGCACATTATGTTTATTAGTGCTCAGCTAGTTAAACAAATTGATTAATGACCCGGGTTTTCTTGAGAAGTACGGATTTTTTTATAATTGTCCTCTGTCTGGTAAAGATTTTAGATTTTAAACAGTTTGGAATCACATATTACTCTGGTAAAATAAGCAAATCAACTTGAATTCTATTGTAATTAAAATAAGAAACAATATGATTACTTTGTTTAACACCTAATTAATGATGTTTGATATTATCATTTTTTATTATACTATTCCCAGAAATCCAATAAATCCCAACAACACTAAATGTCACGAGGTAACATAACATAGTACAAAGTCATCCTCAAAAAAAAATAATTCAAATAAAAACCGTATGGCTTGTATGTATGAGGAAAAAGAAAACAATGGTTCGGATCGCATCAGGAGAAGTTGCACCCACTTGATTTTTAGATCTATTTGAAACCCAACTAAAACCCCAGATATTGGGGGAAATGAAGGATCAATAATAGTGTTTTTAAAGGGACAGAATCGCCTCTAAATGGAATGGAAGTATTGAAACTACTTTGAGCCACTTGAGGTCAATTTCAGGTGGTGGAGATTCTTTACTTCTTTCTCTGCTTAGCATGGTTTCCAGGAAAACACATTCATTAGCCTAATGCACAATTGCATTGATGCGGCTCCATGTTAGGGTAGCAACTGTCCGCTGTGGGACCCAGGACAACCTCTAAGCACACAAATGACTATAAAAGCGCCCATTGTTCTTGTGCCTTGTGAGCACTATGGTTTACCTGCAGATTAACTATACCCAGGAGAAGAGCAAGCTACTTTATGATGGTATATTGATGGCATTAAGCTTTCCTTGTCATTTAAGCCAATATTAGGCAAAATAGAAAACGGCTGTGTCCAGGCACAAATGCATAATGCACCACCCCTAGATCTTCCTTCTGTCACCCGCCCAATTATCATAGAGCCCCTAGTCTTGGAACTCATCCTCCAGTGAAATGTACCAGGCCCTTCCCTTACCCCTTATAAGTACAGGCAGTGTGTGCTCAGTGGTGTGAAACAGACCTTTAGATAGAGAGTTAGAAACCAGCGTTCTTACGCCATTATTTTGGTACACAATATTCAGCCAGTCATTTATTATTTCTTGGGGGACCCAATGACATATCACATCTGTAAAGTGTATAGGTTGGGAGGAAGCCGCAACTAAATGTACACGATGATCTCTTCTAGCTTGAAATCTCTATAAATCTAGAAACTACTTTCCTAATATTCCATAAACCGTGTTTCATTTCTGAAATACTCTTTACCTTTAGTCTTGAGCTCATTAGGGAAGATATTTCAAGCTAACGTCTTGCAGTGAGTCGGGAAGGTTTGGGGAGGGAGAATTTTCCTTGCCCTCTTGGAATTGGTGAATGTCTACAGCTACCTTGTCTTATGCCCCCAGTTCTTCCCCTAAAATACTGATGTTGGTCCTAAAGACCACATTTTTTAATGAAAGTGTACATGCAAAAAAAAATCCTTTCCTCTGCTCATCTGTATCCAACATTGCGCTTATGGCTTTTTAAAGTTTATCGCGATTTTTATTCTCAGAAACAGCTTTGCCTCAATTGCACCTTCTCATGCACTTTTGTATTTGTGCCTCTTGATATGCAAACATTCCCTGGATATTTGTAATGCACATCTCTTCCACCTACTAAGTCGGCCGATTATTCAAGCACATGCATAATTGGAAGGAACCAACCTAATTGTTGCTGCTATGTTTATTACTATGCTTTACTCATTTTCTGCTTTTTCTTTTTTCTGTTTAATTACTCTGGGATATAAGACTCTTCCTTATGAAATGTTCCACTATTTAGGATATCCTAAGACTACTCCCCACATATGACCACACATGCATACATAGTGGCCACAAACCGCTACCACCCACAAAATGAGCTATGAATTTGCCAAAAGGTAAAGAAGTCCCCAAGGAGCCATGACTCCAGGAATAAAGTCTTGGCAAATAATTCACCCCGAGCCAAAGCAAACTTTCAAAGTGCCATTTAAAAAACCCATAATGGGTGAGTAATGAGTGAATAAGGAGCTTGGTGAATTTTATGTGAAATGCAAATAAGAAATTTTATTATACACATAGCTATAATTTACACCATTGTTTTTTTTTAGTTCAGCTAAATACCAACAGGGTTTTTGTTGTAACTATATCATTTGCAGCTATTATGGTTAATTATGTAACTGCCATTCCCTTGACAGCAGATGGTTCAGAGCTGCTGTGGGGTTACCCCAAAAGCTGTTCTCAGAGCTCCCTGTTGCTCAGGTCACTTTAGGAGCAGGAGTTGGGGACTTAGAGAGACCATCACTCAGCCCACAAAGGGGCAATTGATTGCAGTGTAGACGATGTAGGAATTCTTCTCTTCAGATGAGAAAGTTATTCCTGGAAAAAATTCCATGAACTAACATTTTTATTTATTGAAATCTGCTTTCCTGCTGACATGCAAACATGATCATTACAGTAACTTCTCACAAGTTAACTTTCCCTTCCCTGGCCCTCTCTTATGTGGTTAAATGGTTTGTGTACACTTAACTGCTCAGAAGCTTCGTATTTCAAGGGACCCCTTTAATAATACAAATCACCCTCTAGTTGACTGGCAAAACTTTGAATTTCCCCAAGTCACATTTGAAGGCAGCTCTGTACAAATCCACAAACAGTAAATGTCCCAAAGAGCTAACTAATAAACAGAATTATCATAATCACGAAAAATAAAACCTGCTTATTTCCCAAGCAGTAAATTTAAAATTACTTCTGCAAAATTAAAACTATGCTATGAATAAGGAGAGGAGATGGTAGACTTTAAAATGGTAAGAATGATAAAATCATTGATTTTTTTAAAAAAGTAAAACACCTCTTTTGAGTCCTTTTCCTGTGGAAACTATTGTTCTCTCTCGCTTTCCTTTTCCTTTTGACTTCTTAAAAGAAGAGTTTATGTTCATTTCTTCACTTCTTTTTCCTTAGCAAGAGCTCAGTCCTTCCTGTATCATTAAGGACAAAGCCTTAGTTGCCATAACAAAGA